ACACACACACATACACAAACACACACTCACAAACAGAGAGAGTGCGAGTGGTTGAGCTTAGACGATGGCATGCATAAAACATGTATCGACAGTGTGGCAGCAAATTGAATCAATAATATCCAATCATGGGTTAACAATGCGAATTGATTTCTAGCTAGCATGCCACATGGGACACATGGGATGCGTTTTCAGGGTGCCTCTAGATTCCAGGGCTGCAGGCATATGCAAACAAGGCAGACCAATGCTAATAACAACAACAACAATTGGCAGACACTCAACGAAAACCACCTGCATTCAATCTGCTCTCTCTCTCTCACTCTCTCTCTCTCTCTCTCTCTCTCTCTCTCTCTCTCTCTCTCTCTCTCTCTCTCGTCTCAAGTGTTCTTGTAGATATTAATTAAGTTTTGGCTTTTGTTACATTGGCCTTGTGTTTTTGCCTAGCTGGCCAAGTGGACATGAGACATCATCAAACGTCAGAGTCTTTGCATCCTTGCAAGCATCTGATTTGATAAGAAATATTATTATATTAGTCGCCTAGTTAGCTGCTACCGTTGGCCTTTGCGTAATCAACTTAATTAGTTGACAAAAACTCAATTTAATTTAACACTAATTCGATGTATAGACACCTCTTCTTCTTATTCAAGCCTATTGTACGCTGTTCTCAATGGACAACAGAGTCTAAATGGCCATATGAGCAAAATCCGCCGTGCTGTTCGTCCGTCAGTTTGTATGAATGCAAACTATTCCAATGCCAGAGATTCGTAGTTTAGTATATATATATGTATATATAAGTATTTATACGATGTCTGATTATTAATTCGATTTGCTCACAGTCAATTCGCAATTATCAAAGCATAATTTGTAAACTTTAACCCAAGCTGATTTCAATGATAATCTGTATATATGCATATATATATATTATGTCCTATTCATGCAATTTTAAGGTCTCAGTTTCAATTTGCAACTCGCTTGAGCTTGAGCGCTCGACTTGCTGCACGGCCATAAAAATTATTCCGATTGCGAGTGCAATTTGCGAAACTTTAGCAAATGGTGTCGCCAACTGGCGCTAACTGAAGCGCCAACTTTTCACATTTTCATTACAAGTTTCTCCTCAATGCACTGTCAAGCCGAGGCCGGGCCCTTCGCAGCGCGCCTCCTTCGGGATGTGCCTCAAATTAATTTCCATGAAATATTACGCATACGCAGCGTTAACTCTGCTAATTGTCGCGTAATTGAAGTCAACATGCAACTTGAGGCAATACAAATATTTGTTATAGAATTATATTAACAATTATTAATGGCTAATATGTTTAACCGACCGAAATTTGGGCGTATAAGCAATCTAAGCGAGAGGAAAAGAATTTTCATTAAATAGTTTACTAGTCTAATATAAAAGCTGAAAATAAATAATATATACTTTTTAAATATTCTTGAAACACTTAATATATGTATGCACATTATGTAAAATTTATTTATTTTATTTTTTATTATATTTAATTTCTTAGTTTTGGTCTATCTGTAAACATTTTAACAAATAATAATAATTTTTAATAAATAAATAATTTTTAATAAGCTCGTTTATTAATTAGAATATTGAATAATTATGCCTTATCGATATTTATATCAGTGCTAGCGCTAGTGCTGCTTAATTCGTTTCAGTGGAATGTTAGAGAACACTGAAAGCGAGCGGGCGGGCCTCTGGCAGCGTTGCCAGATGTCTGTGCACTGACGACCTGGTGAAGAAGGCAGCACATGAGTCGACTCTCAAGGAGAGAGACTGACGCTCGTAGACGACATATGTATGAAGAGATTACAAATTTAAAAAATGTGTATATGTACATGTATGGGGACAAGTTTCAAACACAAAAATTGTGAACAGATCAGATGAGATTAGCGCCAATATGTCAATTTTGTAATTCAAAGATAATTTAGACAGATCGAACATGACTTGATAAATTTGCACTTAGAGGTAATCGCTATCTGGCAATGGAGTTGCTTCTGGATGCGTCTCATCGACGCCATCAACAAATATCATAATCACACCCAGCATCGGGCGAAGATTCTCGGGCATGTGCGCATTGTCGCCGCCCAGAATGACCACGCACGGCTTCCCGGTGATCACAACGGGCAGCAGACGCGTCACAAACTGCGCCAGCCGATGCAAGTTCAAGCGGCGCATCTCGAGCGTGGTCAGTCCCTCGGGCCAGCTGTCCTCGTGACAGCAATCGAGCAGGATCTCCATGAGGTGCATCGGGCAGCCACTGGCGCGCAGACCCTCGCGCACCATCAGTCGCATAGGCATGTCCGGGGTGGAGATTAGGCTGCCCCAGGTGCGAACCGAGGCCAGCGGCAGGGCGCGACCCCAGCGCATCAGGGCGTACCGATCCAGCTGGTCGCCCACCGTGCGAATTACTGGATTTGTGGCTCTCAGTGTCGCTATGTAATACTGCAGCAGCTCCAGCTCGCGCCGATGCTCGCCCAGCCGCCGCTCTTGATGGGCCTGCATGTCGCGTAGCTCGGGAATCGCATTGATGTGGTCCTGCAGCTGCTGGCGCAGCTCGAACACGCAATTGTGCCGGCTCAGCTCGTCCTTGGGCACCCGCATGCCGCAGCCCTTGTTGCAGACGACCACGACCTTGGGGTTGTTCTGGCAGTTGGCCACATGGGCGCGATACTCCTCCAGGGGCATCAGTGCCGTGCAGCCGTTGTCCGCGAAGCAGCACTTGATCTTCAGGCGCGCCAGCATGTTGCGCATGAGGCGCGAGACGGGAACCAAGTGGATGGGCAGCAGATCGGAGCGATCCACTGGACAGATTTGCTTCTCCTGCATCCACTTCTCGATGCAAAAGCGACAGAAGGCGTGCTCGCAGCTGGACGACTGCATCGGCTCCTCCAGCACATCGGCGCAGATGGGGCAGAGCAGCTCCTCGTCGACGTGGCCAACAATTAATGCCAGATCGTAGCCCATGATTGATTATAACTAAGATTACTATACGCTAAATGGGAACTATGTTAAACTGGGGCAGGTTGCACACATGTATTTATTTCGTAGCCCTCGAGCTATTGTGTGGTTGCCACTCGACCTTGCACTGGATGTTTGCAGATAGAAATAATACGACTTTTCCGAAATTTCGACTCGAAATGTGAGAGTAATGCCACAGTAGAGACTCAAAAATTTTGACTTTGATTTAGATTTAGATTTTGATTTTGATTTTGATTTTATTGCAAATGTCGAAAGTGTTGAAAATTTGTTGAGTGAGCTGCCTCAAGTTCCCAGGTAAAAAAAGCACATTTCGATTGTCAGCGTTCGAATCGTTCATTCTTATTGGAGCAAGCGATAGTGCTGAGATAACATTATATATCGATATATTGATCGATTGTCATTAATGTTAATTTGCGGCTATTGCAGCTTTTAGAATTGTAATATTTAAATATATTTCGAATATAGTTTGTAAAAATATATCATTTCGAACTATATTACTATCAAAAATCAACTGGAACCACATTTTGCATTGCATTTGGTTCATCGATTAATTCGTACATGCGAGTGCTCATCAGGGGAGTACTAATGCTTTAATCGATCCAAACACATACACATGTGTATGTATGTCAGTGGTGAGTCGACAGATTTATTGGAGATTCTTGTAAAAATTTGTCTAAAATCTCAGCACAGATCAACTCAACTGCCGGCTGAGACGCAACTCTCATATTTCGAAATTTCGAAAATTAATGAAAAATCAAATATTTCGGCTTCTGTCGGTAGCATACACGTGATAAGGGTAAGTGGGCCAGCCTGGATCTATAATACCTATACATATCTGCGTGTAATGCAAGTCGTTTCGTTTAGCGATAAGAATTCAGAACCAACAAGTCAACCAACCAAGCGATTATGGGCTACGATCAGGGCTTAATTGTTGGCCACGTCGACGAGGAGCTGCTCTGCCCCATCTGCGCCGATGTGCTGGAGGAGCCGATGCAGTCGTCCAGCTGCGAGCACGCCTTCTGTCGCTTTTGCATCGAGAAGTGGATGCAGGAGAAGCAAATCTGTCCAGTGGATCGCTCCGATCTGCTGCCCATCCACTTGGTTCCCGTCTCGCGCCTCATGCGCAACATGCTGGCGCGCCTGAAGATCAAGTGCTGCTTCGCGGACAACGGCTGCACGGCACTGATGCCCCTGGAGGAGTATCGCGCCCATGTGGCCAACTGCCAGAACAACCCCAAGGTGGTCGTCCTGTGCAACAGGGGCTGCGGCATGCGCGTGCCGCGGGACGAGATGAGCCGCCACAACTGTGTGTTCGAGCTGCGCGAGCAGCTGCAGGACCAGGTGAACGAGATAGCCGAGCTACGGGACATGCAGGCCCATCAGGAGCGACGCTTGAGCGAGCATCGACGCGAGCTGGAGCTGGTGCAGTATTATGTGGCTGCACTGCGATCCACCAACCCGGTCATACGCAATGTGGGCGAACAGCTGGACCGCTACTCGCTGATGCGCTGGGGTCGCACCCTGCCGCTGGCCACGGTTCGCACCTGGGGCAGCCTCGTCTCCACCCCGGACACGCCCATGCACATGATGGTGCGCGAGGGTCTGCGCTCCAGCGGCTGCCCGATGCACCTGGTCAATGTGCTAATGGACTGCTGCTACGAGGACAGCTGGCCCGAGGGCCTGGCCACGCTCGAGATGCGCCGCCTGAACCTGCATCGGCTGGCGCAGTTTGTGACGCGTCTGCTGCCCGTTGTGATCACCGGGAAGCCGTGCGTGGTCATTCTGGGCGGCGACAATGCGCACATGCCCGAGAATCTTCGCCCGATGCTGGGTGTGATTATGATATTTGTTGATGGCGTCGAGCCGGTGCCTTCGGATACGGCATCAATGCCCGACAGCGAGTACCTCTGAGTGCGATTCGCAGACGTTGTCTATTCGTGTTCGATCGGTCCAAATAATGTTTCGACAAAGATCAGGCTAAACCAAACACAAATGAAAAGCAAACCACAAAACGAACAAACAACAATATAGAAATATCACAAATTTGCTGCAATCTCCTACATTTCGCGTTCGGCATCCATTTGGATTGGGATGCAACTAAACAATGTTGCCTGTGTGTGTTAAAATTATGTCATCTAAATTCCGTACACAAGTCTGCTCAAGCAAAACCAACAACAAAATCGACTGGTTGGGTATACATATGGGAAGCATTCAAAAATCGCCTCGATGAGGGAATCAAATCTAGAAGTGAGACACAAAAATACGAAAATTAACAAGAACGAAAAAGTAGAGTTAATAAAGAATTAAATAACGGAACTACTGTTTTCTACAGTTTACATTAAAACACTTTGTGTAAAAAAAAAAGAAAAAAAAAAATATGTTAGATTTTATGCAATTAATTTTCTGTTTTGAAATGTTTAATAATATTTTGACAATAGTCCAATAATCCAACTTCATTTGAGCAAACTTTAATTGATTCTGTGTGGCTGCTATATTCTAGTTAAGTTAAAGAATTTATTTTTAGTGAAGCTAATAA